GTGGAGGGGGGAGGGGGGAGGGCTAATCATTTATTTATTCAGTGAGACTGGATCTCGATCAACCTATGGTCAGATCAAATGGGGAAACGAAAACGGACGGATGATCTGCATTTTCATGGCGGGGAGAGAGCTGCCATGCTAAGGAAAAACGCCGTATGAACATTAGGACGCAGCCAAATCTCCCGATGAGAAGTATTATTTTTGGAGAAAAATTGGAGTAATTATTGCTCCTTGGCATTTTCAGGCACGTTAGATTAAATTGGACTACATTCTGGAATGAGGAGGTCATGTTTCAGGCTCATTAGAAACAACCTATGTGCCCGTAGCGTTACTATGCAGACAGCTTCTTTTCTTCTTCTTCAGTTCTTCTTCTTTTTCTTCTTCATCCTTTTATTTTTCTTCTTCTTATTCTTCTTTTGTTTTCTCTTCTCCTTCTTCATCCTCTCTTCTTTCTTCTTTCTATTCTCTCCACATTTCTCCTTCCTTTACCTCCGCTTCTCTTCCGCAATCTCTCCATTTTCCTCTATCTGCGCTTCTTCCTTCTCTCCTACATTAATTTTCCCTCCTCAAGATGGCGCTCTCATAAATGGGCCAGAAATTGTAGTTCCTTAATGCAAAAAGTAGCACATACTGTCCAAAATTTATCGAAGAAAGGTAATGGAAACTTTTCCCAAAAGTTCACAATCGATTCGTCTTTGGCGGGAGGTGATTTTGCAACGTCCGGATGCTCATAGGGTGTTTTTCCTCGCACGACAGAGGGGACGACATGGGGGGAGGCGGGGCGGGGGAGTTAGAGGTGATTTAAGCGGGAGCGATAAAAAATGAATAAAAATGATTTAGTGGTAGCTGGCTCGGTGTCGCACCTTGTCGCGTGCCTCGGGCACCATTATCACGTGCGAAACGCTTAAATATTCAACGCGGGGGAGGAGGTTTGGGGGGGGGCAAGGGATGGAGGGGGAGGGGTTCTTGCGCAGATATTTTGGCCCAGATAATAACTCCACTGCTCCGGGATAAGACCGGCGGCGGGCTCTGCTCGTAAACCGATGCCAATTATCAGCACTGGAGTATCCATGTTAGTACACTCTACCAACTTGGAAATTCAAAACTTTGTAAGCACCATCGGTGTTGCTCAGATTGTGCATCAAGTTCATGAAAATTGTGTCTAAACTTCTTGAATTTTCTTGTTCCCTGTAATTTGAAGGTGTCTGAAATTCTAACACTGAAAGAAAGTTACGGGCCTTAAAGATTAACTGTCCTTTCCGGGCTCAGAAGCCGAAAGTTCCGGGTGCTGTAGCCGTAGCTTCGACTGCCCCGGGTGCTACACGAAGAACTACATATAGGCTTCTGAACCCGGAGCGAGGACGGTACGTCTATACAGCCGGTAAGTACGGGTTTCACGGCCGGAGTTTTTTTTTCCGAGTGTATTTCTATTTATTCCCTGATACTTCCTCGATTTTTCCTGATTTCCGAGGAAAAATTCCACGATGAAACCCTGGGATTTCGCTCTCGTTTTCTTCGAGATTATCTTTGAAAAAACAAGAGTTCCGCCAAAGTATCCACGAAAAATCAACTTTTCATCTTAGCCTGAAGCTTTAAGACCGGTTCAATACGAGCTATTCATTTTGAAAATAATTTGATCCCACAACAGCAAGGGAATACATTCAATTTATAGAGATTCGAAAATTCAGTTCGTCTATTTCAGAATTTCGACAGCGGAGACTGAAAATCTCGGCTCCAGCTGCCAAGCTTATCAGGATGCGAATATTGCCAAACACATTTTCACTGAGTATTACTCGATATTTATTAACATGTTTTTAGTTTCTAATTCGGCCAGGGTCAAAGGAAAACTATAGACCTGCGATCGTATGCCTTTTTGAACATCGGCGCAAAGGCGCGGATCGTGGTATAATCTCACTTAATCCTTTTAACTCTTAAATAATTCCTTTCATCGGTAAAATATTTAAAAAATTTCAAAAATTTTAAACGAAAACTTCAAAAAGGGTAAAAATTGTGCGCAATCATAAAAATATGCATCGGCCGGGAATCGAACCCGGATCGCCCGCGTGGCAGGCGAGCATTCTACCATTGAACCACCGATGCTTGATGATGGAAGAGGAAATATGCATCCTTGATTACTTTCACCACTATCTCAAAACTGCTGCGCATCTTCAATGAGGTTATCGGAGCTGCGAGATTCGGCACACTCACACATGATCTGGTGAATGCAGTCGGATCACATTCACTAGCACCGGCGCTCACTGGACCGAATCAGTAGAGGAGGTCGGACAAAATCGAGAAACTTCAAAGCCTTTATATTTTCAAAAATATAACGTTTAAAGGTGGTTTCATTAGTTTTTTTCGTAAGATTTCCTTTCAGAAACACCCCTTGAAATTGAATTTGTGACGAAATAAATATCACAATTTGAAATTTTGGCCACACATTTCATGTCTGATCTCTCCTGTTTGCTCGTTCCATAGTGTGCGGCACGCGTCGCAACGCTGCTAACGTAAAGCTGCGATAAGTCTAAAGAGCGTTAGATGAAAAGCGGAATATTTGATGAATGAACTACATTTTTCAGTTGGGAACTACAATTTCTGGCTTACAATCAGTTGAAAAACAACGCATGTGTCGTGAGTTTTCCATGGATATATGAGGACTCATCTGTAACAATAGCGGATGTGAAAAATTACCTTTTCGAAACACGTTTAAAAAACTGTTTTGTTCACACAAAAATTTAAAATGTTTGGCTCTGGTATAATGTACAGATCTCGAAGATCACCTTTCAAGTATTTTTTCAAAATTTTCTCGATGCCAAAACAGTTTTTTGAATGTGTTCCGAAAAGGTAATTTTTCACATCCGCTGTTGTTACAGATAAGTCCTCATGTGTGTTTTTACGGTTAAGCCAGAAATTTTAGTTCCTATTTCCTAAAATAGTTCAAATGTTGATTCATTCCTTCATTCCTTTTTCGTTCAAGATACCTTTTATGGTGAATGATTTAAGTTTTTTTCTTTTTTTTTTTTTAAAGTCGATACGTGCATGCGTTCTTGGAAAAATATTCTGAAAGAATTTTACTGAAAAAAACTACATAGCGAAGTCGCTGGATATTGGCTTGCCATTAACTTTCGCGAATTCTAGGACTATTTCTGTTGTTGCGTTACAACTCAGTTATTGTGAGCCAAAAGCAAGTTTGATCGAAGGTTCAGAGGCGAGCTTACAGCGAGGTGTGAAACTAACTTTTTAGATGAGAGAACTTTGAACCGGCTTACAGAAGCCTTGTTGCAAGTTTTCTATCCTAAAAGATGCTTTAGGTAAAGCAAAATGACTTTATCCGTTGTTGCGAAATAATCTTTGAGCACCTTAAGTTAAATTGCGTTTAACGAGAGGAGAGTTGGTGATATTTATACGGAACGGAGAAAAATATGCTTGAAATTTCATTTTTTGTAAGGTTCAACAGCTTTCAAGTTAAAGTGTCGCGCTCTGGTTATTTTTTGGAAACTTATGTGAGCTTCTTGGCGGGAGAGAATATGCTTCTTAATAAGGTGGAAACTATCCTTTACTCAATGTTTTAAAACAATCTTCCAGCTCTGATAATTAAAGGCGAGGCGTGAATGATCGATTATCGATATTTCCCATTTGGACTGCATTTTGCAATTTGGAACTATAAATTCTGGCCCGGTTTAAAAACAAAGTATGTGCCATTAGTTTCCCTATGCACATAAGTGTTTTTTCAGATGAGCCAGAATTTATAGTTCCAAATTGCAAAATGCAGTCCATTTGAAGCTGTGGTGAAGAATCGATTGCTAAGGTGCTCTTATGATCACCCTGTTTATCGATCC